GCGCTTGTAACTTTTTTTTCTTTTTCGTAAATTTAAAAAATAAAAGCTTTAGTGGAGATTTCAACATTTTGCCTTGCAAGAAATTTCTTTCCGCCCTTCGGGCCGTTCAGGAATTGTTTTCCCTAAATCTTTCACTTTTCCACCCAAACCCCCTCAAAATTCTAATGGATTGCACCTACCAACAAGGTACTAATTGCAAGGTCCTGCAGACAAGTCATGGACAAAATTTGACATTTGTCAAATCTCAAATTGAGAGTGATGATAAAAAATTATAATAACTGAGTGTCTATAACGTACAAGCCCGTACAACGTACAAGCCCGTACAACGTACAAGCCCGTACAACGTACAAGACCGTACAACGTACAAGCCCGGGGACACTGTGCTCACACACTATCTCTGAACAAAACAAATTATGAAAAAGTAATGAAAAACGTATTTCAAAAATTTCTTAAAGTAATCTACTTAACCGTGATTCGAAAAAATTAATCGTGAGTCGTGAAAAAGCCAAATTTTTAGCCGTGAGTCGTGATGCGTACCACCCCATTGAGACCCTCAACTGAAAGCGAGTTCGGTGATGTTGGGAGAACATGAAACCTGAAATTTTATAATCTATAAATTTGTCAGGAAAATCCTCCCYGAGCCCCCCTGATTTAGTCTATTTTTCATCTATATTTTATATTTATTTCTTCTTTTTCTTTCACGCAACTGTTCTTGGGTTGTCGCATGATCCAACATGGCGGAGTTCGATTAAACTTTGTCGTTTGACTTGATCATGTGATTGAAAAACCATAAGAATCACCTTAATTTCTGTCTGTCTGTCTTCAATAATTTGGTGGGAACTAGCGGTAAACTAGTGTGAGCTGCGTCGGTGTTTCTAAAGAAACATTTATGTAAAAAAAGTAAACTTAGTAAGTTATTTCACATACTTTWTTTACGGTGTTAAATTTATCTTTTTACATAACTGCTTCAATAATTWACCGAGTGCAGTTTGTTAGCCATCATTACGTCTTGTGTACCTATTATCAAACTACTTCCTGGTTCAAAGCCGGACAATTATCGCTAGGCCCAGTCAAAACGMGTATAGTTTAAAATCAGTCGCTATWTATAGATACGACTGAATCAACACTGGTCAGTTTTAATCAATCACTATCAGATAAGCGTTTGATAACAAGTATTCTTGACGAAGAATTATTGACTCGGGCGCCGTTTAAATATAAAAAAAAGGAAATAAAAAAAGATAACGACAACAACGAATTCATTAGCGTTGCTTGGTTGAAATAACAAAGTCTACTTTAAAAGATGTATACTTGGCGGAAGTGTCAGTTCAAATTTGTCGGCTATTGTAGACACAATCACTGACTATCTTGTCTATCTCTTGACAATTTTAAAATTTCATGACATGAGTCACATCGATTACCATTAATGAATCATTGCAGTCGGATGGCAGTGGATATCAGTACAACAATTGCAATCAAGGTTGTCGTTGTAAAAGGAATTATAGATTTGCTCTATTGTGACCTTGTTATCTGAAAGAGGCGGTCAATTTCTAAACAGAGATTGCGCAATTCGAGAGGGGAACTATATATCTTTATGTGCCAGGCGGTAAACACAAATGAATGATCTTTAAAGCTATAGTTATCACTCACAGACACAACCTTGATCAAAGTACAGCAAGAAGTAACTAGTAATTCAAGGTAGTAACGAGGCATTATGGGATCAGCGTATAGYGTAATTCCTGTGCAAGGGGATYTCTCAGTAGGGCCAGGAGACAGTGGYAGCTTTGGAATCGGGATCAATGTCCTAKGAAACGGGATCCCGAACGTTATTCATCTAGGATTGGGAAGGATATTAGGATCAAAAGTTTCGTTATTTGGGGRTCAAGGATCAAACTTTTAGCTCAGTAATCTGGGATCACCGAGAAAACTATATTATACTGTAAATTGTTACTATACCCTGAGTAATATCTAGTATTAATAGCCTTTGGGAATTTCGCTTGAGCCAAGTGACTGAGTGACTGAGTGAGTGAGTGACAATTGCAAACTCCGCCGTTCACTTGTAACAACCTTTCATTTACAAAGCCATAAAGATCCATAAATGAAGCTTAGATATAGATAGAAAAACTCATGTGAAGAAAAAGCCACACAACTTCAGTGTAACTTGGTTTCTACTTTTTATTGAACGTTTCGGGTATTCGCACTTCTTCAGCAAACTGAAATGGTGAAAGTAAACCTTACAAGAAACCCATCCCTAAAGATTGCTTTGACTAGATTTTGTTACGCACATTATTTTTTATGATATCGTTAGCAGGTGTATGTGATGTTTTGAACAAATACAATATTCAATTTTATCTTGTTAGAGCCAACGTCATATATAGCAAATAAAGATATCTTCTATATCAAAAGTGATAGGTAGTGTGGCGATAAAAATCAATGAAAAGAAGTCTTTATTTCTAATCTCAGCCATGACAAAGAACACGCGGAACRGTTTGAGTGGAAAGAAAATTTATTTGATCAGATGTGGTTTGAATTTCTTTAGGCCATACTAAATCTGTCTAATTTCTTAACTAGTTTCAATGTTACTTTCTTTCCCTGTACAGTATTGTGTTATWTGCTTTTTTCCCAATTTCCGTAGTTTAAATACCGACTTCTTTTTTTGTTTTGTTTTTATGTGCGGAATGCGTTTTGCTTTTATTTTACTTATTTGCTTGCTTTGTTATTGTGTTTTTGTTTTTCATATGGTAAAAATATAATTAAGAAAAAATATAATCCAACTCTTCTTGCTAAATAGTTTATTACAACTCGACAAAATCCTAAAATCGCGAGAGAAATGCATATTCAATATAATTCACTTCAAACTTTTGTATTCTTCTTCTTCACTTTGACCAACAATTTGACCACTTTGTTTTCATTCTATTTGTTTCGTGATGTAGAGAGAGATTTGGCTCTAGACTTCAGGTCTAATACGTTGCCCATTGGTCTAAAACATGCATTACTCTTTCTTTAACTTTATAACTTTATTTCATTTTAATGACTTATTCACAGATTATCCGGTTTCGGTTATAACGCCCCTTRCYATTTCTCTTGCGCTTTTAGTTGAAAAGGAAARCAAAATACTATTTTTACTATAAATATTACTTATACCCCATATCCAAAAGSTTCGATCCCCCAGTCTTTATACACATCGGCGGATATAAGTCATGCGGACTTTACGTGGGGTCCRCCGTAAAAGTATTTCATTTTTATTCGTTAAAGTTTKTTGATGCATTTAATCAAGCGAGACTTTAATATATCAGTTRMTTTTGKKAAAAAATGAGCGCAATTGCAAACAATGATCGATAAAA